AAAAAAAAAAAAAAAAAAAAAACGCCCGTCCATCACTTTATGTTTCAACTTAACTCGACAACTTGGTGCCAAGTTGGACACTACACTCGCGATCGGTCGTGCGCGAGTCGCGGGAATTTCGTTGACGTAGAGGCGACTGTGTCGGAACTACGCAGAGGGTGGGGGAAAAAAAGGGTGGCTCCGTTTCCGGCGTAGAATCGATGATGGAACGAACGATAAAGCTGGTGATTGATGGCGCACCATTGCCGCGGCGCGTCGAGCATGGAATCCGAATGTGGGGCACAGATGTTCGACGAAGGAATTTGTCGCGAATCGTCGCCGTTCGCAACGTTTTACTCTTCTTCGGTTGCTCTTTCTTCGTCCCTCATCCTTGCTCCTCAACCACGTACCACGCGCTGTCCGTCTCTCAATCAACGATCGCCACCAAGTCGACACTCCGACTATATCCGGCGACAGTTTGTCAGTTTCTCAGATTTTATTCCACTGTCTCTCGCGTTCCTTGCTTCTTGATGGACCCGGTGAGACGAGAGCTGATCGCGAGCGAGCGAGCAATCTGCTGGAGGCTTCTGGCGATCGAACGAGTCGATAGGCGAGTAAATACTTGAAAAACGCGTTACGTCTGCGGGGAGTCGCGCGGGTAAAAGTAAAAAGCACAGGTATCGTGCATCGCGCCGACTACCGCCACTGTCAGCAGTTCCAAGTCGACTGGTCAAATGCAATGTGCACGCTGTAATGTCTACGCTAGTTTCAGAGAAGAAGGCATCGACTCTCGACTCGGTGGGGGAGACTGTCGATCAGTCAACTGCTCAATCATTTTTTTTCTTTTTTTTTTTTTAAAGCTGATGTCTTGTGGTCCTTGTCGTCCGTTGTCATTGCATTTCATTATCCTAATTGAATATTAAGGCAAAGAATGAAAGAAGGAAATATGGAAGAGGCTAAACAAGAAGAATTTCAGGAAACCATTTTTTTTTTTTTATTTTTAGAGAGAGAATATCGTAAGAGAATACTGTAATAAATTATTGCGATTGTCTATTATATCCAAAGCTATATGTAAAGCTGGAACTGTAACAGGCTTGTTTGCGGGAAAGCGAAACGCTTGGCGGATCACGGAGGTCAGTGCAGAGTACAAGTAGATTGCGTTGCATCCGCCTACACCGTTTCCTGAACACCGTTTCCTCTGTTCCCTTGAAATTTGTCGTCCGACACTTTCCCCCATGCTATCTCTCGCAAACACGACGGCTCACTTTGACTCCTATCTCCGCCGAATATAAAATCATCCGAACATGTACATTCTGTCCTCTATTCTTTACAATTAGTCACCAATATCTTCTGTCCTTTCTTTTCAAGAAATAACGGATCAAAAAACTATTGGAACACCTTCTTCTCTCGCAATATCTTTGCAAGAATGCTACGTTAAAAAAAAAAAAAAGAAATCTATGCCCATCTATGTGAGTAATACGCACAGTAGAAATAACGATAAATATATATATATATATTGCCGGTAAATATAAAAATTTGAGAAAGATTTGCAGCTGTACGATATATTTTCATGATTCAGAGGCAAGCGTTCCTATCATTCGATAACGTTCCTGTACTTACAAAAGGATATTTTGCCATTTTTCTGACAACGTTCCGCCAGACTTAAGCACGGATTAAGTGTAGAATCATTCAGCTTTCTCGACTCTTTTTACATCCGTTGCGTTATCATTGCATAACTCGTCGTTGGAAAATTGTTGTCACTTTTGTACGCGGTGAAACAGATTTCCCTAATGCGTTCCTGCAAAAATAACGCCAATATTTCTCGGATCCCCACTGTAAATACGAGAGCAAGAGAGATTTCTCCGAAGTATCCGATTGACCACGTTGCTCGAGCACAATAAACAACAATTTTGCTGGCAAAATCGTACCTACGAATTCCAAGGCGTTGTGACACCGACACAAGGGAAGATAAGATTCATTTATCGCGTTATTACAGCCGAAACGATTCGTTTCCGGACGGGATAAGTGTCGAAAGTGAGGAACGGAACGTTCGAAATACGAAAGATATTCGCGTGACAAGAGCCAAGTGGAGCCAAGTGGAGCCAGATTTTATCGACAGATGACCGACGAAATTGAAACTTATACAGCGCGTGCGTTGCTGGCGAGTGACGCAGATCGCTCGATTAAGAGGCTTTTCTCGAGAAAATGGAGCGACTTAGTTGTTGGCTAAGTGTAACTTCGCACCTTACATCACTCGATGGTAAAACTTCGCTCTTCACAATCGGTGCTTGAACGACACGCCGCAACTTCCACCGGGACGGAATGAACGGAAGACGGTGAATCACGTGCGTCCGATGTCGTGATTTACGAATGGAACTTCTGCCGGTGACTCGCTTTAACGATCATCTGCGCGACACTTCTCCGAGTTTACTAAATTTGCCAACTGAAATTTCGCGAGAATCACGGCGCGTGTGTATTCGAAGACTTTTCTTCACGTTTCTCCGATGAAATTAACACTGGAACTATCAAAATGGTAACATTTTGAATATTTCGATTAGACATTTTGCATTATATTATAAAGATTTTCTTCTACTTTAACGTCTCTGATTTTATGCATTAATCGTCGGTAGTTCTAATGTTAGAAGCTCGTTCTTTTGGGTAATGATCAAAATGACCATTTGAGTATTTTTGTTAAATATAAAAATATATGACTATTATATTACTATTATATTAAATATAAAAATATATTACTATATTGATATTATATTAGTATTTTATAGATATAAAACATTTTTGGAGGTTTGAATAATTCTTCGTCAAACATGTGTACCTCATTGTATTATAAAAGTTTTCTGTTTCTTCTACTTTAACGTCTCTGATGAAGATTTTATGCATTAATCGTCTGTAGTTGTACTGTTAGAAGCTCGTTCCTCTCGGAAATGGTCAAAATGACCATTTGAGTATTTTTGTTAAATATAAAAATATATTACTATTATATTGATATTATATTAGTATTTTATAGATATAAAACATTTTTGAAGGTTTGAATAATTCTTCGTCAAACATGTGTACCTCATTGTATTATAAAAGTTTTCTGTTTCTTCTACTTTAACGTCTCTGATGAAGATTTTATACATTAATCGTCGATAGTTCTAATGTTAAAAAGTCGTTCCTTTGGGAAATGGTCAAAATGACCATTTTGAATATTTTTATTGGATATTTTATAGATATAAAACAGTATATTTTTCGAGACTCGAATGATTCTTCGTCAAACTTGTCTATCCCATTGTATTATATTATAAAGATTTTCTTCTACTTTAACGTCTCTGATGAAGATTTTATGCATTACTCGTCGGTAGTTCTAATGTTAGAAGCTCGTTCTTTTGGGAAATGGTCAAAATGACAATTTGAGTATTTTTGTCAAATATAAAAATATATTACTATTATATTACTATTATATTAAATATAAAAATATATTACTATTATATTGATATTATATTTTATAGATATAAAACATTTTTGGAGGTTTGAATAATTCTTCGTTAAACTTGCGTACCTCATTGCATTATAAAAGTTTTCTGTTTCTTCTACTTTGACGTCTCTCATGGAGATTTTATGCATTAGTCATCGGTTCTCGTTTCTTTCGGAAATGTATCTCTCGAGGATTATCAGCCAAGGCAGGTTTGATTCTTGAAGTGCAATTCAGAAAAGAGTGCAAAGGGCAAGGCCAAGTCGGCAACCTCGCGACATCGAACAGCGATGCAACGCTCCGTGACTAATTCTTCTCGTTAATCAAGGACCCCGATCCATCATCGCGGTATCTGTGACGCGGTTATTCTTCGACGTGGCTCCGAACGCCGCGAAATCAATCATAATCGGAGTTTAAGTGGCTGCGACTTTATGAAGTCTCTCCGAGGCTTCGCCCACGCGGATTTATCGCGCCATTATGATCTATACAAACGCGTCGTCGCGTGGCTGCTTAACGACGTGCCACGCGAACGTGATTTTTGTCTTTGCAATTATATTTCGCCGTGGTAACTGAATAACTTAACCCAGTGCGCTTCTGACCAGACCGTGGATTTTTATGTATTTATGAGACGAAAGGTACGGAAATGCATATTACATAACATGCAGAATTATGTAAAATATAACGTTCGTTATAATGTTAAAACGAGGGGAGAAAATTCGAGTTTTTTTTTTCTTTCTTTTTTCTTTTTTTTTTTTTTTCATTGCGTTCGTAGAAATACGAATTTATATAAACATCAATTTATTCGCGGCTGTATGTATAACGATATTTTATCAATGAAATTCTGTGCTGGAACGAGATAAAATAGTAGGCGTATACTTTAAATTTTATTATATGAGACAACGATATACTAATGAATGAGATAATTTATCGCGAGATCACGACGTTACAACATCC